CTACAAAAATAAAGAAAAATATAATTCACAGGAAATATTTGAAGACAGATTTTTATTTTTTATAATGAGGATTAGTTATAGGGTTATTAGCAAACAAATTTCACTACTAAGTAGTGAGTTCAATCCTCACAGGATACCATATATTTGGGGCCTTGTGTTAGTTAAGTTTAGTAAATGTATATTCTAAATTTATATAACCTAAATGTTCTATACAGAGAATACAATGATCAAGATATATCATAATACACTGCATAATTTTCTTAGGGGTACAGAACTTTATTATGGAAATAAAAAGGCAAAAGCAAACTTAACCATTCATGATTTAAACAAAAACAAACCAGCCTACTGGTTTTGTCCTCGCTCATAATACATTGATAAACCATTTATAAAATAGGCCTTCTACAATATTTGTTTATACTATATCTTGTATTCTAATATGGCGACTCATTTGTCATGAACAAAGTCTGTTGATGTTTTCTCTTTTACAAAATGTTTGGATTGAAATTATTTTCTAATCATGAAAGGACATGATCTGGTGAGTTTTGCATAAATATTACCTTTTGGAGATTATTCAACAGAGTAAAGTGTAGTAGTGCTTTTTAACCTTTTCTTCTCCAGTGACTGTTTTCAGATTTGTGTGGGCTCGCACTCTTCGTTAAAACTGAACTAGTAAGTGGGGTTGAATTAATGTCACATATTTGAGTTTTGTTGCATTATAATAATGCTAATCACTGAAAGCAAGTTATAGTGGAGAAAAGCCAAGCAATGGTCAATGGGTCAGACCATAGAAGCAATTGGACTTTAGCCTGCAGGTTTTTGATACATATACATATTGCAATTACAGCGATAGGTTTAAAAAAAAAAAAAATATATATATATATATATATATATATATAAAAATTAAAATCTTAGGATTTTTATCAATCAGTGTTCAACATGCAAGTCATTTTATTGACCTATTAAAATTAGGGTGCTTCCCTGAATACTCACTCACTCACTTGAATTCATGACATTCCCAAGAGTGTGTTACTGCTCACACTGAGAATCACTGCTGTAGTTGGATAGATTGTTTTTTGGTAAATGTGCAAAAGTTAGCCAAATTCACTTTTTTGAGAGAAAGGTCTTCCAGTACAAATATTTCAAAACTTTCAGACATGTACAGTTTAGTTACTGGAAAAAACTATACAAAGTCAAAAAAATAAAAATTCACATACTTCTCTCACTAACTCACACTGCATAAATAACAAACTAATTTTGAGTGAGTTACCCTTGATAGAAATAAATGGAGATAATTTTGCCAGAGTGGTATCAGAAATTTTGAAATCAACAGTATTGACCTACTAAGAGATGAAAGATAGCAGCAGTGTCAACAAATATTCCTGTTGCTATGTCCTAAGATCCTTGCAGTTGCATAATATATTGACTTGTATGCAGGTCACTAGTGAGCCTGAAGGGTCACATATGACACAAATATAAAAACTGAATGAGGTAGTCAGATTCTTATATGATGAAATAGACAGGAGAATTCATCATGCATAAAAAGATAAGGAACAAATAGGAAACATTTATAAATCTTATAAATAGATTTATGAACATTGCCTATTTGTTCATTATCTTATTCTGTTGAATTCTGTTCTATATTTGATCCCAATTCATATATAGTAGAAGCATCATGCTCTAAATTACTTGTATCATTTAGCACCAGGAACATTTATTTTTGCATAGACAAAATTATGGTGAATCTTGCTGGCAGTTTTTGCTTTACTTTCAAGTTGTTTTAAATTAGATATTTAAGGATTTTAACTTTAATGTAAGCAGACAATATGTTAGAAATGAGTTAAAAGTAAATCTTATTTAGTTAAAAAAAATGCTATCAATAATAAGAGTTAATAAAGATATCAATAATATATCCTTTTCTTAATAGCTTATAAAATTAAAAAATACAATAAAATGAATATCTATTAAAACAGTTAAATATATTCAGTGGACAACTCTCTTCCACAACCATCAGTGGTTGATATGTGTTACCAGGATTGACAGAACAGTTGATTTACCAAAAGCAAAGAAAAAGAGAATCTATATATTCTTTCTGCAAGACTGTGAACACTTTATCATTTGTTTTGATTCCTCAATTTGTCTTGCAGAATTGGCTATACACCAGGAACATGACTACACAACAATAATGATGAAGATAATCCAAATAAACACAAACATATATGTCAGTATCAATATTTAATGGGCAAACTTTTTAAAACTGTCTAATCTATAAACAAAAGTCTTGTCATTTCATTTATTCTCAAGATTGCAAAAATCATCATACTCTTATTGTGTGTATATATATATATATATATATACAGATACATTAATAAGTTTTTAGCTTATTTATGAAAAAAAAAAAAAGCATTTAATTTACATAAATGTTTTTCAACAAAATCCTTTGTGTCAATGCACTTCATTCACTGGTAAATGTTATTCCATAGATTGGATATTATACAGTGAAAATTCTAATAAACTATATGTCAGGCTATAGACCTAGTGATCCGATTTTTTGTGTGTGTATAATATATATATGGCATTTTCCAAAAGTACCTGAAAACCAAATCATGGGTTGAACCAATCCTTGTTAGTGAAATTTGGTAGACAGAACACTTGGGTGACGTCAATAGCTGTGCTAGCACGAAGTCACAAGTCATCATGACTGATGGTTTGAGTGTGCTGGCCTTGTTCATATTACTGATCATGTTAAATAACATGCTCTCTCCCAGAAACTGGAACTAAGGTCTGCTCAACATAGTTGCAGTATAAACCACAGGTTGGCTCTGTGGGTGTTGAACAAACACAAATATTCCTGAGCAAGCATCTGCAATAAGGATTGGCTAGCTGCCCTAATAGATGGGTACCCTTGAATATGAGTGGCTAGCTATTGTGTGTGTGTGTGTATATATATATATATATATATATATATATATATAAATATTGTGATTTGCAAAAAAGTCAACCAACTAGGCTATTTCTTAAAGACTGTTTTTTTTTATTTCTTTTTTGTAATTACAGTGCTAAATGTCAATATTAAATATTACTATTTAATAGTAATAACTAAAATGAAACATTTATCTTGTTAATGCACTTAATTCAGTGGTGAATATTAGTGGAGACAAGATAAGTGAACATTTTATTTTATTACAGTCTCTCTCTCTCTCATATAATAACTACACTTTTGAAGTTAATATTTGCAATAATTTGTGGCTACTAAAAATCTTTTTTTAGTTTGTCTAGATTTTCAACATACAACATAGTGCCAAAATTTGCTCAAATTTTAGGTTAGAAATTCACGAATTAAGCTATTACATATTCTTTTTTTAAAATCAGCTGATACTTAAGCAGGAAAACTTATCCATGGCAAGATTACAAGTCAATATAACTAAAAATTAAAAATATAAATACTGTATTTAATACTTTCTATGAAGAATTTGATTTAGCAACAGTATTTTTAATCTATGTCTTCTGGTCAAGGATCGCCTTAAACTCTGGTGGATGAATCAAAATATACACATGGTTTGATTACAATGTGTAAACTATAAAAATTGACAAAATGTCTTATCAATGACATGGCTGACAAGAAAGGAAGTGGATGAATAAGTGGTTGATCAAAAGAATTCTACAATAACTGTCTTATCTGCTCAAACCGTAGTGCTGGAGTGGGGTGAGGCTCAATCACATATATCGTATCTTAATCTTAAATTAATCTGGCAAAAAGGCCACGAGTGTTGAGCAGAGAGGATTGAACTAAATACAGTGTGGTTTGCTAGACCTGGTGAGGTAGCATATATATAATTTTTTTTTTTTTTTTTATAGATACAAATATTTAAGTAAATGCTCTGTTTATAATAATTTCTCGGACCTTCAGGATGGTAAATGTTAATACTGTTTATTATAAACAGAGCATTTACTTAAATATTTGTATCTATAAAAAAAGAATGTATAAACATAAAAAGGACTTAAAATAATTGTCAGACTTTGTTCATTTCGTAATGTCTGACATCATTTGTTTACATTTGGATATGCATCAAGCAGATATGAATGCACGTAAGAAAATCATGGAGAATTATAGTTTAAAAACAGTAAAATCAACCTTGCTAACTGAAACGCTCCTCTGTGGCGAAATCGGTAAAAGCACGTCAGGTTATATGACGGTTCCGTATAGGATACAGGTTCAATTCCTGTCAGAGGACGCATATTTTCTATGACAATTTCTCGGACATTCAGGCCAGTAAATGTTGTTAATACTGTTTATTATAAACAGAGCATTTACTTAAATATTTGTATCTATAAAAAAAAAAAAAAAAAAAAGAATGTATAAACAAAAATGTCTTTATATATATATATATATAGAGAGAGAGAGAGAGAGAGAAATTCAACTAGGCTAATATGAAGAAGCCTAGCAGTTATTTTCTTACTTGATGCTTTTGAAACTCCATACTTTTATATTATATAACTTAATATGCAAACCTAATTAGCAATTATTACTTCTAATTATATATATTTTTTAAACCCACTTCCTGAAAATATTGGTAGTGTTGATAGTGCTGCCAGTGTTTCCATATTGAGCCAAACTTTATTTCCAGGTAACTGATTTCCTGATAAGACTGGCTGCTTGGTTGTAATGGCACTTTGAAGCTGCTTCTATTTCCATCAGGGATTTTGAACAACAGTTGATCCTGCTACTTAAAACCAATTTCAGCTGGGGCAGAGATACACCAAAAATATCCATCAATTTAAACAATTTTTTTTTTTTTTTTGTGCACTGTCAGAAATATCATCTTTGAGGAAAAAAATATTTCTATGGCCACTTGCTAAATAAAAACAGAATTACTACTGCAAAAAATGTATGATTGCTATGGAGATGGTAGTTGGAAAATGTCAGAATATCGACAGTAATCAGTAAGTATGCTTTTGGAGCAATTGGCACAACTCTTCTGAAGATATTCTTTGGATTTGAG